TGATTTTTAATACATAAATATTAAAAATCATTTGAAAGAGCTATCTGTATCTGTGTAAACATTTAAAGGAATATAATCTCCACAAAGAGCAGGTGGAAGAAGACCAAAGGACGGAAGCACTTTGATGATAGCTACTAAAAAGTTGTGTTTAATTTCAAATGTCTACATGATTATCTGCCATAGACCAACATGTAATAGGTCAGAATAGAAATCAGTAGTACAAAATAAAGGGACACAATAATTTAGGGATGGTACATCTTTGACACTTTTGTACATTTCACTGCTTCTTTTCCTATCATCTTCCAATTTGGTGAGAATGACACTCTTGTGGACTGCAAGCTTTTTTATACTTTGGATCATATAAAAAGGAAGGTATTTTGATTTCTTCACTGAGTACACATTGCCTACAATGTTTGAATTATTTCCCACATCTAATAATTCTCTCCCTAGTCATTGAAATGTTAAATTATACAGCCTCCCAAAACAACTAGTATTTTTCTTATCTTCAAGCAAGACTGAAAGACTTCTTGTTCATATTGTACCTGAGGCTGATCCAAACTAGCTGACCTCAGAGTTCATGTCTATGAAAACTTGAGTGGCAACAGCAAGTTTAATAGCAGAATGAAATGCATTTTAATGTGACATAAGAACTATTTTGACAAATGTAAGAGTATGATTGGTTTGTATAAAATATGCTATCAATAGTATAAAAGACTGATAATTTTGAAACTTTTTTTACTTAAGCATTAATTTAAAAAAAAAAAAAAAAAATTAATTTAAATTTAAAGAAAGTCTAATAGTCATATAGCACATGCTTTCTTCACTTTGCACACTTAAGCTCATGTATTCATGGAAATCTTCTTGTCATTTGCTCTCATGTGCCATGTCCACCTGCTGTTACCTGTCCACTGATCATCATACTCTTCATTCTCATACTTTCCTCTTCACCCCTTCAGTATGCTATCCTTTTGTTTTCTCTGTTAGAATTCTCATTAGGCCGTTGGTTGTCATTGCTTTCATTCTGAGGAGATCATGAAAAGCTGCTGAAATGAACCTGATCTATAAATTTCCAATAATTAGCTTTGTTTTATAATAGCTTTATTTTTTAAAATATCTTACAAGAACTCTAGATCTTCCTTCCTTCCCTCCAACCTCTTTCTCTTCTCTCCACATTTATGATATAATTTTTATTATTGTTATTTACGTATGTACAATGAATATAAAACCTACTAAGTCCCTTAGGCTTTACTCGTATGTGCATATGTCCAGAGATGACCTCTTGGAATTGGACTATGTATGTGTAAGCTCATCCCTGAAGGCAACTGGTTCTTCCTCTCACAACAGTCACTGCCCTCTATAGTTCTTCATCTGAGGTGGGAGCGTGTGGAATTTCCCATCATATCAACTGTAATTGTCATTATACTTGTCATATTTAGGCAGCCATATTGTTGATAGTTCATTGGTGCATTTTATCAGCTGTGTCTAAGAAACCCACTCTAACGGCAGGTGTCCTGGACTTCTGGTTCTTACAATCTTTACACTGCCTCTTACATGATTTCCCTGACAGTGATGCAGATTACCCTTTGGGATTGAGCTCACTACAATTAACTTATTCTCTGCATTTCTGAGCAGATGTGCATTTTTATAGTATTCTCCATCAGTTGCAAAAATAAACTTTGTTCATATGGCATGTGAGCAATATTTTTATGTGCTTATAGGTTTAGTCATTTAGAAAACAGTTGATGTTATAATCTTATGAACTGGGAGTAGTAGGTTTTCCCTTCACATCTCAGATCTCTACACCGAAAATTTACTTGGATAGATTGATAGTACCAGCCATGAGTTATCTCCTATGAGTGGGACTTTCCTTAATTGATGGTGTATCTGTGTGAGTATAGTGTATTTGAATGTGTTTTGTGTGTACTCACTTATGTAGATGCATATGGAAGCGAGAGGGTGACGTTGGAATGTCTTCCTCAATTATTCATTTTTTGAGACACTCAAGTCACTGAAACCTGGGTCTCATTATCTTGTATAGAATGCTGGTCGGTGAGATTCTGGGTTCTACCTGTCTCTGTCTCTCACACTTGGGTTGTTGACATGCTGCCATGCCTGTGTTTTAACCTAGCTGCTAGTGATTTTAACTCAAGACCTCAGGCTTATGTTTTTCACATTCAACTATTCCCCAGCTCCACCCCTTCAGTCCTGTTCCCTCAGTCTAATTGCTCTTGTTCCCATCCTCACCAGCTCTCAGTCAGTCCACTCACGAAATCTCTTCTATTTTTCCTTCAGACATTAACAGCAATGACACTTTATAATTAGTCCAAGCCCCTTATTTGTTTTTAGGTTTTGTAGTGTAGTGCAATGCAGACAGAATGCATTGCACATACGGGACAAGTACTCTATAATTGTGCTACACCTTCTTGCCCATTAAGCACCTTTTTAAAAAATATGCTGACTGCTGGGGATCTAGCTCAAAAGGTAACATGCTTCTGCACAATGTGAGGACCTGAGTGTGAATCCCCAGAAAGCACATAAAAACCGAGCCTGGTAACACAGCACTCTTTTAGTGATGTGGATGGAAGAGACAAGAAAGTCCCCAGATGTCTATGGGTCAGGTAGTCTTTATTACACAGGAGTGAAAAAATGAAACATAACTCAAATAAGGAGGAAGTGACCTGGCACAGTCCTCTGACTTCTGCATGCACACTTTTGAAAGCTCATGTCCTCTCTCTCTCTCTCTTTCTCTCTCTCTCTCTCTCTCTCTCTCTCTCTCTCTCTCTCTCTCTCTCTCTCTCTCTGTCTCTCTCTCTCTCTGTCTCCCCCATTTACACACTTAAAAATAGGCTAAGAATAATATAACCCAAACAATAATATAGTGATGTGTGTATTTTCAGTCTTCTAAAACTTCCAGAAAAATTCAAGCAAATGTAATAAAAATTATTTTAAAAAGCATTTTGGTTTTTAGCAGGCAATAAAATATAATTCACCCTTTTTTTGACTGGAGAGACAGCTCAGTGGTTAAAAGCACTGGTTGACTTCCAGAGGACATAGGCTTGATTACCAGCACCCACATAGTTATTAACCACACTCTGTAACTGCAATTCCATGGGAATCTAATGTCCTCATCTTTTGTATAATATTCTATGTCCAGCCTTAATATTATACTACCCCAGGGTGCCCAGAAGTAATGCCACCAGCAGCAGCGTGGGAATGAATCTAGATACATGGAACTCTTTCATCCAACTCCTCTTATTCATCCACCACCATCATTCTGTCCAAAATTCTCTGTCCTCTTCTCTCAGGACTTGTCTATATCTTTTCCAAGACAGCAACACCTTCATGTTTACAATACAACATAAGAATTGCAAGATCCTCACCAGAAGCTTCCTGACAACTTCATTTGCAACCCAAAAAGAGGAAGAGACTAAAGGCGAAGTTAGATAGGAGCTGGAATAAATCAGAGAAGGAAATTTATGTGCTAAGAATATATCCTTACTGGGGTTAGGTGAAAACATTATGGATCTATCACAAATGTGCTCAAACTATAAACCTACAGGTGATAGGGTAAAGAAATCTATGTCACTAAAAGTAAAACTGCCACTGTTTTTTGCTACCAGTTTTCCGACAGGGTAGGAGGAGTTCTGGTAGCTAGTCAATCTGCATCACAGCTTGAAGCACCTGGTGAGAGAAACCCCTTGGATCTAAGAAGTTGCTCTGGGACAGTGGAAGGTCTGAACTTGATTTGCACAGTAAACAAAGCTATGCATATGGTAGCCTGTTAGTCTCCTAGGCTCAGCAGTGGAGTTAGTACCTAGTGGAACAGTGTCTGAGAAGCTTAGCTGTTTGCCAAAATGGTTTGGAAATATTTGGGCACACAAGAATTTCATAGCAGAAGACAGCTGAAATATTAAAAACTCTGTAACACCAAATATTCATAATAATGACTTGCTTTTTGACAGACCCTTGGCCAGTCAAAGTATAGCTTTAATACACAACTGAATCTCTACAATATACTCTTGTGGCCTGAAAGACTCATCTAGTCTTCATGGGCAACAGACATATACAAGGTGTACAGGTATGCCTACAGGAAAAATATCCGCACACACACAATAAAAATAAATAATTTTCATTAAAAAGGCCATTTATCCTTTTGTGTTGTTTTAAATACATTTTGAATCACAAAATTCAAAAATTGCCATTTTACCCCATTTTAGTTCAAGTCTGGAAGCCTTGACAGGTAACCTGTTCTCAGTCTTGGGGTCACTGTAGCTAATGAAGTTGTTTGTATTAACAGTGCAGAATGCATTTAATTTGTTATACTAAAGGCTATCTTGTTGCTCTCTCTTGCTTACCAGAGGCACTGAGCATTTCAATACTCACTCACTATGCCATTGTGAAAGCCTGGCAGCCTGCTTTCTGCCTTCAGGTGGAATGCACAGTCCAGGTTCAGTATTTCACACTTGAAAGAGGGACTCACTTTATTATAGAAGCGTTTAATCTTTCTACATGACAGGGCATGCAGGATTTCATTAAACAGCTGAATTTCATAACAAGGACCAGACGTTTCTTCAAAGAACCTGATCAAATTTTGTAATCCATTTCCATTTGGCCTTGCACTTGTTAAATTAGACACAAAACACTTATAAATGACATTTTTCCTTCCCACCAATTAAGCAGTTCAAAGGTTCCCTTTGTGTTGTGTGGCTTTGAAAGTATTATATTTATTCTGAACTGGCCCTTCAATTTGTTCTATCAAATATTTTGGAGGTTAGAGCAAGACATCGATTGTGAACAGGTGTGGAAAGACTTTTTTGATGTACAAAAGCATTCCATTTTACAGCCATCGTTTGCAGTTTTAGCACATCTGCTGATTGAATTCCCTTGAAACAGGGAAGCCAGCCCTTTGCTAACTAGGTGATAGAACGTGTGAGTCTTACCACACATTAGGGGCATTCCTCCACTTGCTGACATTTTCTCTCTGCCCTTTCACATTTCAGTGCTGATCCTGCTCATCGTCACTATGAGAAGACGGAAAAAAGAGCCTCTTATTTTTGACGAGGAGAGGGATATTAGAGAAAACATTGTCAGGTACGATGACGAAGGTGGAGGAGAAGAAGATACTGAAGCCTTTGACATGGCCGCTCTGAGAAACCTCAACGTCGTACGAGACACCAAAACCCGCAGAGATGTGACTCCTGAAATTCAGTTCTTGAGTCGACCGACTTTTAAAAGCATCCCAGATAATGTAATTTTTAGGGAATTTATTTGGGAAAGACTGAAAGAAGCTGACGTGGATCCAGGGGCTCCTCCATATGACTCTCTGCAGACCTATGCTTTTGAAGGAAATGGCTCAGTTGCTGAATCTCTCAGTTCCTTAGATTCCATCAGCTCAAACTCTGATCAGAATTATGACTACCTAAGTGACTGGGGTCCCCGCTTTAAACGGCTGGCTGACATGTATGGAAACGGCCCAGAGAGTTTTTACTCATAGCCTCAGTTCACTTGAAATGTACTGAATAAAAAGGCAGCAGCAAAAAGAGAAAAAATGAAAGCAAAGAGAAGGAAAAGGGGGAAGTATTACATGCAGTAAACAAGAACTTTCACTTGTGGGCCAAAAGAGGTTGTAAATATGTGTCCATTTTTAACTATTACGGTTTCTGCCTTGATGAAACATTCACTAGATTATCCAAGGGATTTCACTGACCAGACTCTGAGCATTTAAAGTTTTTTTTTCTTTTCTTTCTTTTTAAATTTTAATTGTTTATTTATTTGATAAAAAGAAATACTTAGTAGTTTGTGAATAGATAGCAACTTTTGTATACTTGCAAAGGCACCTAAGCTGCCTGATAAAGTCATGTCCTATGTTTTCAGTGAGCCAAGGACAGCCTGCCTAAACATTCATGGTACCCTCTCTGAGAAGAATAGAGCATGGTGTGCCATTGAAAAATCCCAGAACTTCTTGCTTATCAAATCTTGGGAGATTTTGATTTCTACTGAAGCTTTTAGGCTTGCTATATGATAGAGTTCAACACAATTTTATTTATGCTGGTGCTCAGAAATGTTTTACTTTATTTATCAATATATAAATCCTCATAACTTTACTAAGTGAAACTCTCAATAAAAACCAATAAAATTGAATTTAAGGCAACATAAATCACTGTTTTGCCAATAAATTATAGGAAGTGTTCTCAATAAGGAAAAGGTAAATAATTCTTCAAGGTTCAAGTAGTTTTGAAATGCTTGTGTAGGTATGATTTAAAACAATAGTTGCTGTCTATTTGTTAATTTTTATAATCTCTCCCGATTTATACAGGAGAATATATTTTATTTGACACATAGTGGTGTGTTTATCTGGAGCTCCAGCCTCCACTCTGTTCAGGTTCATCTTACTGCCTCATGGTGTTCAGCTCATCAGCACGTACTGGCTTTTCTGCAGTTTGGATTACAGGAAGGAGATGAAACATGGAAATAGCGAAATAACTGCACAACAACTGAGCCTCATTGCCGTCCATATCTCAAAGAGGAGCCAAGCTCCAAGGATGTACAAAATTTTCCTCTGAGCCACTAGAGAGAGCAAAACTGTGGGAATAAAATATTTGTATTTCATTAAGACTTTGGGGAGAGTAGAGATTTTTCATTGATGCAGGAATTATTTTCCAAAATCATGAGCTCTAAGTGCTCCAAAGACTGTTCAAGGACCTGTTTCCCAACTTCTTTTGCTCTAAACATTGACTGAAAGGTTGAGTTTTTAAATATATTTTAAAAAGTATGATGGTATACATTTTCAACCCATTGTGTCCCCCAAGGACTGAAAGACATGTAATTTCTCTACAGTTTAGATGTGCCAAAGGGAAGGGAGAAATATCAAGTAATTATATGTGCTTAAGATTGAGATGGATGTCTCAGCATAAGATGACTTTTATAAACAATAATATTTCTACTTATTTTCCTAGATTAATACTAGTTTATTGTGCATATAATCAAGTAAGAATGATTTATTTTTTTCCTTACTTTTTTCTTTCAAAATTAATTCATTGTTGGGTTCTGAGTAAACCTACAGGTGAACACTGTGTAAGAATTGTGTTCTAAAAATCCTCCTTCTGAGAAGCAGAATTCAGAACTAGAATATTATGTTGATTAAGTGAGGAGAAGTTATGTAGGATGCTGTAACTTGCAGTCCATCATTAGAAATGGAGTATGTGAAAGAGGCCTTCAGCTTCATATTATCAGTAATTCAATAAATTTGATTATCTGCAAACAGACCTTTAGTTGAATAATTTATTTAGATGCTGGTCCTTGACTAGAGAGACTACACTTCTTGCTGTATTCATAGACATACACATAAAATTTTACAACAGAGTAAAATGTCCTGTTGTCCTCTTAGACATATATGAAAGTTTTTCCAATTAAAACAGACTTCATACTTACCTAGTTCAAAAAAATCAGATTGTGGTGTTAGAATTATATAGAAGCTGAATCTGTAAAAGTGCTAAGAAAACAATTTATTACAAACCCCCTAAAGTCTGGGAGAAAATGAAATAGTTACTCCAGGGAATAGTGGCATCAAAACTTCTGATTTTCACACATATCACAAAATGATAGTGTGGTTGATTTTTGCAAAAGGAAGCTATCATTGTCATGCATATTTTCTCACCTTGAAAAGTGAATGGATTTTACCCTTTAAATTCTATCCAGCTTTTGCTAGTGGTAGCTTGAGAAAAGAATAATGGTTCTCCTTTAACTACTGGTTTGAAATTGTTTGTGTCTATCACACTACTGACTTGTTTCTGTGGTAGTTTTTGACATTGATGAGGATAGATAGACAAAAGTCCTTACTATCAGTAGAATTTTTATGACACTTCAAACTTAACAGCAGTGAGGTAAATTTGTTATTATTTATTCTTTTAGCTTTTTTATGTTCTAAAATCTAATGCTATAACTGGCATGATACTTCAGAGTTAAGAGATTGCATCAGTTGGCTGAAGAGATGAATTATTACATATATTTTGAGCTTTTTTCAAAGTTTATTTAAATATATGTATCTATCACTTAGTGGTTTAAATTTGTCATTGTACTTTAAGCAGTAAGAAGTTGCTCAAGAAGTAACATGTGTCTCATTCTTCAACTTCACTTACATTGATATGATTTTGATGTGAGTTTGATCTGTTGGTTTTCTTTTTATTTTGGGGGCAGGATCCTATCCAATAGCCTATGGTTGCCTCATAGCAATCCACTCTCCTCAATCTCTGGTCTACCTGAATTAAAGTTTTAAGTGACCACACCTGACTTTTAAATCCTGAACTATTTTATAAAGCCTTAACTCATTATTATAGGTATATTATCAATAAATGTAATATCAAATAATGATCCTAAAAGATTTACTGAATTATATCCCTAAACACAGATGTACCTATGGAAGTAAACTGTGGACAAAAGGGACCCTATACTTTATTGTGATAATCAGTGTCTTAACAAAGTCTAGTGCAGAAAACCAGGGACGTAACCCACACATTTAAATAGTTTTCATTTCTACAAAACAGCGATTCTTCATGTGCAAAGTAATTTTTACTTTGAACGGTTAAGTTCTTTAAAGTCTAATAGGAACATTTATTACTATGTAAATTGAGGAAATACACCCAAGTACCTTTTCTGAATTATTATTTTTGTGTAATTTTAAATCATCATAAAAATATAAACTATTCCCCAGACAATACACCCTTTTCCAGTGGCAAACAACAATCAAGAACGAAATCAAGAAAAAAAAATTGACATGTGATTGTTGTACCATTAATTTGCTCAATGGACCTGGCTCTGTTCCATTGCTATAAACCTCTGCTGGGGCAGAGTGCAGTTGTGTCTGGGTATAGAATGTGCAGGGTATACAAACATTATGTTATGATAGTGATCCCATGGTTCTACCATCCATAAACATGTTCAATTACCTTAACTCTGAACACATTCCATCTATACTTGCCTTGGTAATGAACAGGAATAGACAACTGTTCTTCACCATCCGGAGAGCCGTACAGGAATGAGCAACATCCATCATATGACTCACAAGCAGCAATGGGAACACCAACACAGTGTTAACACTACTATTCAAGTGTCAACCTGGAAGGAGTTGAAAATAAGCTGGTAAGTACATGGTATAAGGAAAACAATTCAGTTTAAATTTTCTAAGCACTAACAAGAAGTATTAATCACCACATTTTCAATTTTAACCCGACATCTGTTGACTTACACACTGTTTTAATTGCCCTAATTGCTTTATTTAATCACCATTTAGAAGTTTATTCATACTTAATCTAATTTAATTATAGTTGATTAAATCTTCATCTTAACTCTTTCAGATCGGAGATAGCTGGAGGCAAGTAAAAGATGTGATAATTAATATATGAGTTCATCTACTTTCTGTTAGTCTATATTTATTTTGATCTTAAAGAGGCAGTCTTAATTATTCATAATAAATAGTGTGCATAGATACAATCGCATATAAAACTTTGTCAGGGAAGCCCAATACAGTCATGTGTGGTAACTAAATATAATTTAAAAAGATAGATACTCAAACTCCAATGCCTTGAATATAATAAAGAATACAAAAGAATTTACAACCTGAATTTTGCATTTAATTGGATTATTTTACAAAGAAATATGATAAATCCTTAAGAACATGTGAGATAACTAATGCTACGATTTAAAAACAATTAGAAAGAGAAAATTCCCAGTATAAACTGCAAGCAGCAATGAATTTGCATCAAAGTCCCACACATTTAAATTGCAGTGCTGACGTCTACACACTTGGAGTTTACCTGAAACTGACAGTCATCTGAGTATCCATACATCCATACATGTGTGAGATTGGCATCACTGGGAAACTTGTCTGAAGCAACTGAAAATAAATTAGTACAATGTCAACTAATTAAAGATGTCTAGTGCCAAATTTAAGTATGCTGTAAAAAATGCAATTTTTATTTAGATAAAGATCTTGGTGGCTAAAGGAAGAACGCCTAGATGAACCATGGATATTGTCACGTTTCCCTTGCCATGTAGATGTAATCTCATTTTTCACTCAGGATCTGAAATGTGAATTGTTTTTGTGATGTTATCAGGCTTTTCTTCTATAATATTAGCTGTCCAAGGTCAACAAACCTATTCCAGGAATCAAATGTAAGCACACACATCTGACCCATAGGCACAAGGGTGATTCTTTACACTTTTATATCTTTATTATTTAAACAGAGTCATTGACTATATTATTTATTTAAGATACTCTTGAGATTAACTGAAAGTATTTTGCAAGGTGTAATGCAGAGTAAATTGTCAAGTTTTTAATGAAATAAGATGGAAATTCTTTTAAATGATTGATTGTATTTGCTTTATATATTAAATTCAGACAATTTTTGAATGTTGAAACAGGTAATTGGTGTAATTAATAAAAAATAGACTAAAAAAACCTACTAGAGCATTTTCACACATCTGACCTCAGTCTAATTAGTCATTTCTAAAAGTTAGAGCTATCAATTTATATAACAAGTGACAAATACAGTAAAATTTTTCTCACTCATATCACGGCTGGGTGGGAAATCAAGGCTTTTAGATGATTCCAGTACTACTACAGAGCAAAACATATGCCCAAATGTTCGAGATTCTTGAAGCAATGATACTCAGAAGTCAGTTGGTATGTAGGCACCCAGAACAGAAAAAAAAAATCAGATTCTTGAAAATTCAGTAACTTTGCCAAACACACACACACACACACACACACACACACACACACACACACACACACACACAGGTACATATATAGATTCAAATGTCTTCAAATTTGCATACATATGTAGTTTAAAATTGTGAAACATATACAACTTAAAATTTTGTATTTATAAAGACACATTGATATTGCATACACACACACCATATATATTCAGTATTTTCACACATTTATACAAGTGTAGGTTAAAGGTTAATTTAAAAAGTGGCTTTTGATATTTTCTTTACATTTTTAAATTAATTATACCCACCACATCTAATCTCTACAATGTTATGTTAACACATTTGATAAAAGACCACAATGCTGAAGTTTCTCACTACTATAAATTTCACAATTCTCAAAATGTATAGATAATGAACATTTCATATAGGTAATTACTGCAGCATATCTTGCACTGGACTTATAACTGAGGATTAATGTGATTCTAGGGTAGCTCTCTTAAAAATAATTGAAATCCCTTCTATAGATTCCTTTGCTTACTTGAGAATCATTTATCTAAAAAGATACCATAGAGTACACAAATGCTAATTCCACTGACTATAGATTCAATCCCAAAAATCCAATTACATTTGCCTTTCAAAGTGAGACTAATAAAAAGCTAAAGTTTTGGTTTCAATATGTGGCAGAAACTCCAAAGGCACTTTCCAATCAGGATAAGTACTACCTTGCAGTGAAATAAGCTTAGAACATTTTAGTATAGATGAGGGAAACAATATACAATTCCCAAACCTCAGTGATAAAGAGATGTATATAAAGTGTACAGTAAACTAATGGGTCAGGTGTAGAAGAAAATGTGGGAATACTGTAGGAGCTAAGATTGTTTCAAAGTTTTTATGTGTGTGTATTTGTTTTCTTAGTTTTTTTTAATGTGTATTTTGTTGTATTAAGAAAAACAATGGAAAACTTATCCAGAGATGTTAGTTACACCTGTAACTCTAATACTGGAGATATTGAGGTAGGAAGACTTCAGTTTTGAAGCCAGCATGGGCTATACCAAGATCCTATCTCAGAAAAGCAAAGAGTAAAATAATGAAAATTTGACAGAAAATAAAAAACTCTAGAAGTATTTTCCCCAATTCCTACTTTCTCGGTCATCATTCTCGCTACAATTTTTTCTGCCTCACAACTTGTTACAATGGGTATTATTGTTATTAATCTCTGATGTTTCTTTGTAAGCAATTAATTTTATATGAAATTATCATAATAAATTTTTTCTATGGAAATGCAATTTTAAGTTCCAGAAAAATCCTCATGAATTGTGTGAGATTCTTTCCTTATGAGCAGAATTGTTAGGTTCGTGCACCACTTCTGCAGAGCAGGCATCCCTCTTTTAAAGGAGAAAACTCAGAAGTTCAGAACTTTTGTAATTTATCTCAGAAAACACAGAAGGTAAATGGTAGAGATGGAAAATGAAAAATAATCCAGAGTTATTTTGTCCATCATCATTTGTAACATCACTAACATTGAAGGGATGGCATTCTAGTTCAGAAA